GGGCCCGACCCCGGCCGGCGGCGGGAGGCCCCCCAGGGAGACCTCTTGAGGGGGGGGCCATTGAGATGGAGGCCATAACCAGTGAGTGAGAATCAACTTGTTTACCCTGCAGCCCAACTCCTGGGCCCTTGGCCTCACCCGAGGGTAACAGCTCCACATTCAACTGGCACCAGCACTTTGGAACCCAGCTGGGCCTTTCCAACTCCCAACTTTCGGATGGGCCCCGTCCCGCGGGCCTGCAAGCCCCGCCCCGCCCCGTTCCACACATTCATTCGGCCTAGGAGCTGGGACTGCTGAAGAGTACTGAAAGGAGATTTGAACCCTGTTGTCAAGGGCATATTAGGGAGTGGAGGTTGGTCCGCCCCTACAGGAAGCCCACCTCAGGCTGTAGAGCCTTTATCCTAATGACCATGTACTCATGCATCTTCCCGTCTAGGCTGAGCCCGGAGATGGAACTCTATGCTATTCAGTAGTAGGGATGGAGGAAGGACTTTCTTCCTTTAAAATAGGAAGTCACACCTGGGACAGTGGCACAAGACTGTAAATTCAACGACTTGGAAGGCTGAGGCAAGAGAAGCACAAATTCGAGCCTCGTTAACTTGGCAAGGCCCCAAGCAATTTAGGGAGACGCTGTCTTAAAATTGAAAGGTCTGGGAATGTAGCTCAGTGGTTTAGTGTCCCTGGGTCCAAGCCCCAATACCTCCTTCCGCCACACACATACAAAAAATGTCAAGTAGGAGTCAGAGAACTTAAGTGGACATACTTGGTCTTGGTACAGTTCATTAGCTAATACTTGTTCAATAGACCAGGAAGAGGAGACAGCTAGGAAAAAAAAAAAAAAGTGACCAGAACAGCACATATGAGTTCACAAGCCTAGGGCAGGGCAGTAGACCTTCCCCTGAGATGCCTGGTCCCTTCAGCCTCTATATCTGCAGTATGCCCAAATTTGTCATTAGTTATTCGTCTTAGTTATCTCTCCACTCCTTTCTTTTTTTTAAGATAAGTTCTCACCATGTTTCCCAGGCTAGTCTTGAACTCCTGGGTTCAAGTGATCTTTCTACTTCAGCCTCCCAGATTCTTGGACTGCAGCTAGGCCATCACACCCTAAATTTGCCTTTAAAATGTCTAGGTTCTCAAGCTTAACGGGGCATGCATGTGTGTAATCCCAGCCACTAGAAAGACTAAGGGCATTGAAAGTTTGAGGCCAGCTTCTGCAACCTAGACCTTATCTTAAAAATAAAAAGGGTTTGGGGTATGGCTCAGTGATAGAGGATCCCTGGGTTTAATCCCCAGCACTGCCCTACCCACAGAATGTCTAGGTTCTCTTCTGATTTTTAAAAAATACCCAAACATATAATTCTGTACACATAGGGGAAACAAGTTTATTGAATATATGAACCTCTACCTCATTTATGCATGAATATGGCAAATACATATTGAGTTGCATTCTGCTCTGCACAATACCAGGTCCTGGAACTATAATGGTGAGCAAAACCATAATGTTCTTTGTCTATAAAACTTACAACTAAATGAGGTGGAGACTATACAACACTCACTGCAAAGTTTAAGGTGCTATGAGAGCATTTAATAGAGGAATTTTCTTAGCTTTTTGAGGAGGTTGGGGGAGAGGCTAGGGAAAGTTGGACTCTTAATGGTAAGTAGAATGAGCAGGAGTTAAAGATGGGGCTTGGGGAGAATATGTTCTGCAAAGGGTTTGTTGGAAGGTCCTGACACTTCTGGTCCAGTCCTCATGAATTGCCTAATGCTGGTCTCTAAATCCTGAATTTTTTTTTCTTTTTTTGTGGTACTGGAGATTGAACCCAGGGCCCTGTGCATGCGAGGCAGACACTCTACTGACTGAGCTATATATCCCCAGCCTCCTAAATCCTGAATTCTTATTGGTGTCCATTCCTTTTATTCTTCATCCACCTTTGGGTTCTCCTGATCCTAGATGATGAGTACCTGTGTCTAGAAATCATAAGATGCTCCACAGATACAAAGAGCTCTAACACACTGCTTTTGTAAATTGAAAAGAATATATATTATTACATAGAGACTTGTTGCAAAAACCAAACAGCATACCTATATATGATTTGGAATACCTTGTCACATCTCCCACTCTTCTAAAACAACTGCTCTTTAGGGTTTTGGGGCATAGATCTTTTCTGTGCCTTTTCTTGTGTCTTTGTACATTTGTGTGTTTTATGCTATATATAAATATATTTTTATAAAAATTAGGTAATGCCTTACATTTTCTGGCTCATTTTTCTTTCCAGTTCACATATATGGAAGTCTTTTTGTATCTTCATTATGGATCTGCCACTTTCTTTTAGAGATCTGCATGATATTCTATTTAAACATCATCAATCCCTTATCAATCAACATTTACATATTGTTTTGGGTCTAGTACTTCTAGTATGTTCTGTAAAGTCTAAGCTTTGAGGGTGAATAGGTGAAAAATCTGTGAAAACTTTTTAGTTAGGGAATTTTTAGGACTCAGGGTATCAATAAAATATTGTCAATTAGGTTTGAGTTTGACTGTCGGGTAATTCCCTAGAAGAATCTGAGAGTACTTGTTTATAGTAGACCAAGTTGTTGCTTTCAGTGTGAGGCCTCAAAATCTGTCTTCCTGCTGTGCCTTGTAGAGTCACTGTGTTCCCTTCTCAGGTATTCCTTTCATTCCATGCCATATGATGCTTTACTTCTCTGATAAGGTAGAGGCTAGGTTGTTAGCCATTTCCAGACAAGAAATAAGTCTGCCTAGAACTTTTTATCTATAGAACATGGTAGATTAGTTCACTTAACTCAACCTTTGGGCTTTGCAGGTGAACTACGGCATCTACGGGAGGAGATTTCCTTGTTAGAGCGTGAGAAAGAAAGTGAACTTAAAGAAATAGAACAGGAGTTGCAGTTGGCCCAGACCGAGATCCAGAATCTGCGGCAAGCTGCAGCAGATTCTGCGAGTGAACATGAGAGTGACATGGCATCCCTGCAGGAGGATCTCTGCCGAATGCAGAATGAACTTGAGGACATGGAACGCATTCGGGGGGACTACGAGATGGAGATTGCCTCGCTCCGTGCAGAAATGGAAACAAAGACCTCTGAATCAACCAGTAGTCCTACAGACTTTAGTGGGTTGCAAGGTATGAGTGCAAGCCCTTCTCCTATTCTGTCAGCAAAGTCAAGCTGAGGAGAGATCATAGATAGGAAGATGGAGGAAGAGTTGTGTTATATCATGCATGGAAAACCTCTAGGGAAAAAAACTTCTAGACTGAATTCAAGACTGTAGTGGAGAAAAACTTACCCAAATATTTTATAAGCAGTCCATGGTGGTGTAAGAAATGGTACCATGGAGATGTGCCCTGGGGATTCTTCCCCAGAGAGCCATTGGGTACTTGTTGATTTGACTATGGGAAAGCCCTTCCTGGGAAAGTGCCCAGTTCTGGGATGAGTGTACAAGGACTTGTCACCTTGGGGAACTCTTCCTGCTTATGTGGCATCGTGGCACTTTGCCTGAACCACTTTAGGGAGGCCTCCAGTTCTCCTTTCCAGGTCCCAGGATGCAATTCTTAGGCTTCTTTAGCTTTCCCCAAAGTAGAAACTTTAGGGGGCAAAAAATCAGAGCACAAGACAGCTGGAGAGGAAGGGAGGTTATTTCTAGTAATTCATGAGGTACCTGAAAGCTTCCAGTGCTGCTTTCAGATAGTCTCCAGCTAGTTGCTAGGATTCATGACATCAGAGTCTACCTTTATACTAGGCTAGATTTGTGATCTGAGTATGAAAGCCCTATATTTGGCCAGGTCAAACAGAGGCAATGAACAAGGAATCAAAGAACTGCAAGTTTTCCCATATATATGAAGGCTCTCAGAAGAGCCTTTGGCCTGGTAGTGCTGAGAGAGGGAGGCTAGCACAGAGGAAAGGCCTTTGCTGGAGTGAAACAAACCAGAGTCAGAAATAAAGCTCTACCCAATAGCTGGATGAACTTAGATTATTCTTTCTCTGGAACCTCTATATCTGAGGTCTCCATATATCCAGATTGGTTAATAAAACCTTAAAGGTAGATGAGATTCTGAAATAGAAAAACGAGCCTAGGGAAAAATGCAGAAAATAAAGTATAGAATTTAGGGAATAATAATATGCCAATATTGATTCCTTAGTCATGGCAAGTGTACCATGCTAATGTCATATGTTAGCATTTGAGGAGACTGGGTAAGAACTCTCCCAAGGAACTTGATACTATCTTCAGCTTTCCTATAAATCTAAAACTTTTCCAAAATTGAAAGTTTATTTAAACAAACAAAAAAAAAACTTACAGGGTTATTTCAGGGATTAAATGAAATGCCCATTCAAGACCAAAACCATCAAGTCTAATACTTAGCTCTATTAGTTTTCAATCTGCACTATTGTAAGGACTTCTGATTGGAACAAAGAGGAAACATTGGAAATGACTGAAGTGTTGAATCTTCCAGCAGGTACTGTAGGTACAATTAGAGCAAGTTTTTGTTCCTCAAATGTCAGTAGAATTAGTGTTCTAAGATGATTCTTAATTTTGAAAAGATAAAATGTGGTGTTTGTATCATCACAGCATTAAAAATTGCTAACTGGTGCTTAAGGACATGTGCTGGAGCACTTCTCTTGTAATATTTGAGAATGAGATAGGGCATGGTTGGAATGGGCTTTTCTGTCAGCAGATAAAAGGCTACTAGAAAGATTATTTGATCACATTTAGGCCAGTGTCTTCAGTGTGGTGATAAAAGAAGTAAAGGAAATTCAAAATGCCTGGATGTATTTGAAAGGCAGAGACTGGCAGACTGATATCTAAAACTTCACACCTCCCAACTTTTTGTGCTAAAAGCATAGTAGGGAAGAAATCATAAAGTTAAGCAAGAACTTTATATTTGATAAACCAAAACTTATTTAAACCCTCAAGAGCTCCTAAAAGCTTGGGGCTGAATATCAGTGCTCCCCTTACCCCTTAATGATCTTACATCTTCCCCATTTGTTGTCTGCAGAAGAATTACAGCAACTGCGGGACCGCTACCAATTCCTGAATGAGGAGTACCGGACCCTGAAGGAGAGCAACAGCAGCCTCACAGGGCAGCTAGCCCAGCTGGAGAGTGAGAGGTACAACCAGGAGGCAGGGGCACTGAAATTCTGTCTTGGGAATTCCCTGAAAGGCAGAGGCCAGGGTCATGAGTGTTCCTGTCTTCCCAGAGAGCCAGACCTTTCTGTGGTATCCCAAGGGTACAGAGACCATTTGGAAGCAAAAATTGGGATCCTACCCAATTGTCTCAGGACAAGAGTTCAGTGAATTTGATTTTCTTCCATTTTCAGCATTGCTCTGCCCTAGAGTAGATCAGAAGAGATTCCTTTGTTGTCCCCACAGACATGATTCAGTCTAATGGCACAAAGCCTCCAGGCTGTTAGCTGACTTGACACCAGGCCCATCCTTAAAACCAACTGGACCAGCACTCTTATGGTGTCTCAGAGCCAAACATGCCTCTGCAGATGAGGCTCTGGAGACTTTCTGTAATCTTCAAAACATGTTTATTTGAGGAGCGAATCACAATAGGTCTCTAACTATCTTTGGCCTAAACAGAAGGCCTTAGAACTGAGCACACTTGTATGATGATACGAGGCAGGGTTCCTTCAAACATGTCTGTGGGTTCTGGTTTTCAGGACACGAAAAGCAACAGAGAAGTGGCTGGAGTGTCAAACAACAAAGAGTATGATATCGTCAGAGTCTCAGACCTCAGAAGTGGATTTCCTAGAGCCTGATCCTGAAATGCATTTGTTGCGCCAGCAGCTGCTAGATGCTGAGCAGCAGATGCATAACATGCAAAGTAAGGTAGGTCTCTTGAGGGTGGGGAGGCAGGCCCTTTCCACACTTTCGTTTCACCTTCTCCTGGTCTATGGTAGGCACAGAGCTAATAAAGCAGGTGTGCACTGTGATAGTAGAGAGTGTTCTAGGGTCTTGATAACTTGCCTGATGTAAATATAGCCATATGCCACATAATGACATTTTGATCACTAACAGATTGCATAAACCATGGTGGTTCCATAACATTGTAATAGAGCTGAAAAAAATTCCTATCACCTACTACTGTGGTAGTGCAACACAGTATCATACTCATAGTGATGCTGGCGTAAACAAACCTGCACTGCCATCCTATAAAAATACAACATATACAGGTACATACAGTACTTAATAATGATCATAAGTGATTATGCTACTGGTTTATGTATTTACTATACTATACTGTATTTTTATTATTATTTTAGAGTTACGCTTCCTACTTAGAAAAATAACAAAAAAGTTTTTTTATACAGTTTTCCATGTATTCCATGTTATTCAGCCTATTTATTGAATTGTTTTCTTTTGTGCTTCATTTGATCTTGATGTTTAATTCATCAGAGCCCTAGAAGCAATAGCCTATGCCATATGTATATGTACCACATAGCCTAGGTGTGTAATAGGCTATACCATTACAGTCTATGTAAATATAGTCTGTGATGTTTGCACAATGATTCAATGGCCTAACAACACATTTCTGAGCATAAGTCCATATTGTTAAGTTACACTTGACTATATTTCAAAGGAATGCATACTCTCCCCAAACGTATTCCTGGAGCACATATAGCAGTTGTCATAAATCAGCTTCCCTGTTTCATTTCTTGCACAGTGTAAGGAATTGTGTTGTGAGTTGCAAGAGCTACAGCATCATCGCCGTGTCAGCGAGGAGGAGCAGAAGCGGCTGCAGAAGGAGCTCAAATGTGCCCAGAATGAGGTGCTTAGGTTTCAGTCATCTCACACGGTCATGCAGGTAAACACTGCCAGGGGAGGCACTTAGGAGGGTAGGAGGGCCTGCATGGAGTCACTGCTTCAGCAGAGGCTAGACAAAAGGAGCAAAAGGCAAAGGTCTGCTGACCCTTGCCCTACAATCAGGGTCCCAGACTACTGGAGAAGCCAGTTATAGAAGCCACACAGCATGGCATTCTAGAAATGGTGGTCATTGTTGAGTGTCTACCTTGCCAAAGAAACCAAATCATAGACCCAGGGATCTTTTCAAGCCATCTGCCCCTGAAAAGGACCAATGTGACCTGAAGAGGGGTCTGCTATTTCCTGAGAGTGACTGTTCCTCCCTCACCCTCCCCACCAAGAATGAGGAGCTAAAGACCTGGTTCTGTGATCTGCAGAAAAAGTATGATGCCAGCCAGGACAAGCAGAGCGAGCTCTTGAAGGTGCAGGTGCAGCTTCAGACTGAGCTCAGGCAGCTTAAAGTCATGAAATCCACAATTATAGAGAGCCAAAGTGAGAAGGTAACAGCACCCAGAGGTTAGGGAATGACCCAGAGTATTTGTCTGAGGTCTCGGAAAGGTAAATAAAGAGTAAAGTTTCAAATAAGTCCAGCCATTGCCTAGTCAGTACTACATGTGAATATCCCCAACCCCTTTCAAGTGCTGCCTTAGGTCAGAGGACAAGCAGAAAGTGAAGGGAGGGAGGAGTAATTGCATAGCCTGTCAGTGGCTGAGAGAGTCAGGCAGAAGGGCAGGAGGTTATGGACCCTGCAGTGCTGCCCAGAGCCTCCTGCACTGCAGGAGTTACTATGCCGGCTCCAGAAGATGCAAGTCCAACACCAGAACATCTCAAGTGAGAAGGAAAAGCTACTGGAAGTGCAGCATCAGCTGCAGGAGAAGCTGCGGTGCCATGAGGCAGAGTTGCAGCACCTTCGGAATATGGTGGCCTCCTTGCAAGAAAGTGATGAAAAGGTAATAGGAGGGCCAGGTGATGGAAAGTGTAGGCAGGCAGGACCCTTGGGGAGGTGAGAGCACAGAAATATGGGTGTGTTAGAAGCTCTATGGAGTAGCTCCTGGTAAGGGAGCAAAGAGGTGTGCCAGGAAAGCCCTTCTGTAGGAGTCACAATGCCCACAGCTTCCTTTGATTTTAAATCAGAAAATCAGTCTAGGAAGCCCCTTTCTTGCCCCAACTCCCCCCAAAAGGAAGCCCTACAAGTACTGGGTTTTGAGCCTATTAGGGATGGGTCCATTTGAGGTCTCCGTGGCTGGAATGAAATCAGAGCTAGAAAGGATGGGAGGATGGAACCCCAGTCCCCAAAGTGCATAGCAGGTTACCTGGGATGATGGTCGGTCCTGCCTCTCCCAACCAGAACAAAAAGATTCAAGTCCAGTTTCATGAGGTGAAGCAGCTGTACGAGTCTAGCGCGAATGAGTTGGAGCAGCAGAAGCACATGTCCAACCAGCTAGAGCAGGACCTCTTGCTCTGCCAACTGGAACTAAAAGAGCTCAAGAACACCCAGAACATTCCTGAGGACAAGGGAAAGTGTTTTAATAAGGTAATTACAGTGCAGAGTGAAAAGCACTCCTGGGCATCTGCTTTGCAGAGAGGAGGTACAGCGGCAAGAGATGAAGTTCTCAATCAAGAGCCTCAGTGGGCTTCCTAGGCAGGAAAAAGAAGCAGAGACACATGTTGCCAACTTTGGAACAGTTTTCCTTGATCTTGACTTTGAGCCAGAGCTCAAAGTACATCTAGATCCCAGCAATTACACACCTGGCTGTTTTCACGCATAATTCTATGTATGTAGATGTTTGCACATTGATTTAGCAACTGCAGTGATATCAGGCCATTTGTGGAGAAGAACATACACATAGGTTCATGTTACTGTTGGAACTAGAAAGCTGAGCCAGTTTTCTGAGGCAGATTGCAAGTACTCTTTTTAGGGGGTATGGTCTGTGTCTAGAGTGCTGCTTGAGTATTAGAAGGACCTAGACTCTTCCAGGATTTATTCTGTGACTTAGTGTGGTGATATTCCCAAGACTTGATATTGCCCTTCTTAAATTGAATAGAGTGTTACTATTATCTCAGTTGCTTTTAGTATTAAATCCTAGTAGGACAAATAAGACCTTATTTACTTTTTCTTTTTCCATGGTATATAAAATGCAAATTGTTGGGTGTGATGGTGCATGCTTATAATTCAACTCTGGAGGCTGAGGCAGGAGAATTGCAAGTTCAAAGCCAGCCTCAGCAACTTAGTGAGGCCCTACCTAAGTAACTCAGTGAGACCCTGTCTCTAAATAAAATACCAAAAAGAGCTGGGCATGTGGCTAAGTGGTTAAGTGTCCCTGGGTTCAATCCCCAGTACCAAAAAAAAAAAAAAAGGCAAACCAATGCCATTACTCAGATGAGTGCTTTCAGCCCCTGATTACTGATAGGAAGTGAAAAGGTGTTGAAAGCATGTTGGAGAAAAGGCCCAAGAATTCTGCCAGAATACACAGCAATCCCTGCCATGGCCAACATCAGTGTTCCTACTAGGGAGAGGCCTTTAGGAGATAAGGAGAGGGAACGTTACAGTCTACTTACCTTTCTGTGCACAGGTTTAGGAGATACCTGATTTCCTTGTCACCTCCCCTCTTCATAAAAGTCTTTGGGAAAGGAGAAGCATGGTGGCATACAAAGCTAATCTGTTCTGTAGTCATAGAACAGCACTAAGAGTCATTTGATATTAGAGGACTTAGAAGACGAAATCATAGAATGATTTAGTCTTAAACCAAATATAGTAGTGGCTATACTTTTGTAAAGCTTTTAAGAGATTATTAGGAAAACAAAAATGGGAAAAATTAGAGTAAAATTAAGTCCTTATTGATAAGGATCATGATTAGGTTCAAAAATAACTGATGATAATGAAAGTAATCAGAATTGGAGCTCCTGTCAGCATGAGAAGGTAGTTAATACACCAAAGGAAAGAGCCAGAGACAGGAAGACAGGAAGGAAGAAGAGAGGGGCATTGATAGCACTCACGCTCAGTCTGCTTTCTGAAGGGACTGGCACAGGGAATTTAGAACAAGCCACTGCCCATCCAGAGCAGCCTGCTGACTGCTGGGGCTCCCCTCTTAGCATGGAGGCCCAGTCTTCATGGGATGATCAGTTCAAGGTGACTGAATGGGGAGGGAGACCCTGGGAATTCACAGGAGGCAGGAGAGCACACAAATGCTCTGCTAGCCCCCCAGAAGTGTACTTCACAGAGTAACTATGCCTGCATGCCCCACCCTACCCACAGTGTGGTGCACTGGTGTCCAAGCTGACAGAATTGCAGGACAAGTTCAAGGTCAGCCAGAAGGAGATGGGGCAGCTGCAGATGGAGCAGTGTGAACTCCTGGAGGATCAGAGGAGGCTGCAGGAGGAGCAGGGCCAGCTGCAGGAAGAGTTGCACAGGCTCATATACCCCACACCCAAGTGTGGCCTCTTTAATAAGGTATCTACAGCTAGTTAAAGGCTGCTGCCTATGAAGAGGCTGCGTTGAAAAACTGTGACTGTCCCTGGGAAACATAAATGGGTGGGGATTGAACCTTTTCCTTTCTTAGCCAACATTCCTTCCTTTCTCCCAATCTCCCCACATTAAACAGATCCACAGAGCTAATTCAGGTTTTTCCTCATAAGGGCTTTAAATCTTAAAAATACATTTTATGCTCAGGAATCTGCAACATTTTACTTTTAGTACCTCTTGAGGAAATGCACCTGAAAATATTTTGTTAACTACAAAATACATTCACAAACAAGAGGTCGTTGCTACTCAATGAGTAGGTCTTCATAGAAAACCCCCTCCCCCAATCCTATGCCCAGGGGACTGTATGAAGAAACTAACAACAAAGATTGGGGGAGCTTAAGACTTGCCATTGAATTGCCATTCTTCCTCCTTTGTCTGCTCTACTCAGAGTCAGGAGCTGCTTACAAAGTTACAAGACCTATGTGAGCTGCAGCTGCTCTACCAAGGCATGCAGGAGGAACAGAAAAAACTGATACAGAACCAAGAGTGTGTATTAAAAGGACAGTTAGAGGTACATGAAGAGCTACGAGGTCTCAAAGAGTCTCATTTCCAGGAAGTGTTGGAAAATCCTCAGGATGCCAAAAAGCATAAGTTCTCAAATTCTGGTCAGAACAAGGTAATCATGGGAAGAGAAAGGGAGATGGGTTGCCAGAGCACACCAGGGAAAGAAGCTACCCAGAAGGGTCAGAGTCAGGAAGGACTATTTGGCAGGAGGCAGATGAAGCCTTGACCTTCACCAGCCAGAGCCACCATAGGCTCCATTATGATGTGGCCTTAGATGCACTGGGGACCTCACCCAGAGGCATGCCAGCTGAAGTCCTGCAAGCACTTAGAACAAAGCTGGGATGACCTAGAGGTCTGTAATCTGACCATTGGACTCAGTCCCATTGAGATATCATTTTCAAGATTTATAATATCAATTCAGTGTTTGTTTAGATTCCTGTGGACTGACTCTAAGCATGTCATCCTTTTCCTATGAGTTCAAAAGTACACTTCTCCATTTTTAAAATCTATATAACCTTTTGCTGCTTTCTATGAGGCTAATCTGAGCCCATTCATCTCCAAAGGAAACATTTTTATGCAGAGTTCTCAGTACTGACTATACTCTCTTCATTGGGCTAGATCAGGAGTGTTAGACCAGAAAATTGGTTTGTCTCAAGCTCTTATCAGGAGGTCAGGAATATTGAGGTCACACAGTCAGAAATTTCCATGCAAGTCTATTCAGAGTTGGGAGATAGATTTGGTCTGAGGTCTCAGCATGAAGAAGGAAGAGCAGGTGGATAGCTTTAATTTAGGCTGAATCTGTTCCTTCAAATATTAAACTGAACAGGAGAACTAGGGAATAGCAGTAGTTCAAACTATGAGTCTTGGTCACATTCCAGGGGCATCAAATATCTAGGCTGAAAGCCTGGGAACACAGAGACAGGGAACCAGGTATAAAGTATTTCCTTAACTGATCAGATCTCATCCTAGGCATAAGCAGCCAAGAAGGCAGGCCCAGAGAGGCTGGGAAACATGCCCAGGAGGCCAGGTTCAGAAACAGGGCAGGAAGTAAAGGACCAGTGATAAGACCTTGATTCCAAGCCTATACCTTCTCAGGAAGGATTTACTTAGAGGTGCACATTTGAATCCAGAGCTGGTTTTAACATTAGGGGTTGGGTAGAAGACCAAGCCTAAAGGTCAGGATAATGGATACACCTGAAGAGGGTGAGGTAGTGAGCCAGGATGTCCTTGAGACAACTAGGCTGCTCTCAGGAGAGAAGGGTGTGCCAGAATGCAGAAACCAGCAGAAGTGGGAACCCCCAAATCATGGAGTATCTGCCCTGGGAATATTTTCCCAAATGTACAGAAAGCTGACACATGCCCAATCACCTGGAGGCTTAAGTCAAAGATATAGGTCTGGGGAGTCTGAAGGGTAGGTATGCACTTCTCTTAGGTATGCTCTTAGACTCTGGGACTGAAATGTCTTTTAGAGTAATGGTGATGTCTCCCACCCCTACCCCTGGCAGTCCAAGTTGCTCCTGGAAGATCTACAGGCTCTGAAGGCGCTGTATATCTCCAGTCAGAAGGAACAGGAGCTATTGCAGCAGGAGCATGGGAGGCTCCTAGAGGAGCGGAAGAGGCTGCAGGCAGAGATGCAGCTCTGCCTGGAAGAAATGCAGCTGCTCCAAGAGCAGTCCCCCTCAATAAAAATGAGCCTTGAGTCCTGCAAGAAGAACTCTGACAGTGTGATTCCCAGCAGTGAGAACTTTCACAGGAGTTATGCAAGCACCATTGATGGCAAGGAAAGCTTTCTTAAGAATTATGGTACCAGCCAGGCCAGCAGTGAGTCCTTCCTCAAGAGCTATGCCAGCACTATGGGTGCCAGCGAGACTTTTGCAAAGAGTTACCTCTCCAGTGTCAGCAGCATCATCTCTAAGAAGAGTTATGGCACCACCAGTAGTTCTAACAGTTATCATAAGAGTTATATCAGCAGCATCGCTGATGAGGAACCAGTTGTGCCTGAAGACATGGAGGTAACCATCCTCAGGTTAGGCAGGGGATTATAGGCTCTTGTCTTTCTAAGAGAAATGTCACCAGGGGAAGGGCACAAGAAGTGAGATGGGAATGGGGTCAGAGCTGACCTGGGAAACTCCTGGAAGCAAGCAAGGCTTTTACTCATGGTGGCCCTGCCTCCTCTTCAGTCCCTCTCCTACAGAGGTGCCCCCATCCAGTCCTAGGACTGAGGACTGTCATCAACACAGTCAGGTACTCCTTATGGGGAAAAATACAGTGTCTCCCTGGGCAGTTTCAGATCCCTGTGGCCACTGTTTTGTGTGTAGGGAAGGGCCTAGCAAAGTGTGGGGCAGAGTCAGAGCTTCTTGGAGTGCCGTCATTGCTCCCCTACCCCCTGCAGCACTTTGAGGAAACGGTGGCCAAGGTGCTGACCAAGCTGCAGGCAGTGCAGGCCCTGTACCAGGTTAGCCAAGAGGAACACTCCCGACTGCAAGAGCAGATGAGCACGCTGCTGGACCAACAGAAATCGCTGAGGGAAGAGCTGGAGACCTGCGAAAAGGAATTCAAGGAGTGCATAGAAAGCCTGGAGAAATCTGCAGCCCCCCAGAACGACAGGAGTGAGGTAACTGATGCCAGGGATGCAGGGTTTCTCCTAGGAGTCCCGAAAGCTGGAGGAGGGGATGGCTACTTCAGAGAGAATACAAATATATGGCAGACAGGGAGACTGAATTCCAGCAGGCCAGGCAGTTTGCTGCATGTGATGGACACCACTCAATCTGAGGGACATTTCTCAGGTGCCCACTGAGCTAGTCATCTAGACACCTCTCCTGGAACTATCCTCTTCTTCCTTTTATTACTTCTCTCTTTTGCTCTATGTCCTAGAGAACTTCTGTGGAGCTATACTTTTTCACTTTCCAGTTTTCTTTATTATTTTGTATGCATTTGTCCAGTCTCCCCAGCTAAACTGTAAATACTTCAAGGACAGGACCACATCTTCTTTTGGATCTCTCAATAATGCCAAGAAAAGTGGTCTGCATTTGCTAGATGGGAGAAGAGGCATTGTCTCTGATGTTGTTCATATTCCAGTGAAAGGGTCTCTATGCATCTGGGAAAGATCACTAGACCAAGTAGTGCCCACCAGGTGGATCCATCACCCAAGGAAGACAAAACCTGAGATTAGGGAGCTGGGTTTTAATTTGCCTGTTTCTTGGGGGAAGGTATGGAAGCCTAGTACATTCTCAGATGTGTGCAACATAGCTCCTTAAGTCAACATACCTATGAGAGAAATGGGTTGGGTGATATAGGAGTTCCCATCAAAACAATAATATAAATTATTATTCCCCAGACAAGTTATGCAAAGAAAAAAAAGCCCACAAAACAAAAAAACCCATAATTTAAGACTTTTTTTTTTTTTTAATCTGGTCAGATGTAAATTTCAGATGCCTCTAGTTAGGGAAAAGCTATTTATAAAACTGTTTAAGAGGCTTATTTTCCAGTTTAATGTTTTCTTTATTGTCTATTTCCTCATGGGCTTTAGCAGGTAGATATCTGAAGCAGTGACCCCCAAGCAGGGCCCAGGCTTATTGCAAGGGCCCAGCTTTGGATAATTGGCCCTACTACCAACAGATCAAAGAACTGCAGACCAAGCTGCGGGAGCTGCAGCTGCAGTACCAGGCTAGCATGGATGAACAGGGGCGGCTCCTGGCAGTGCAGGAGCAGCTGGAGGGGCAACTGCAGTGCTGCCAGGAAGAACTCCACCAGCTCAAAGAGAGAAAGTCATCCTATGTTGGCAAAGAGGCCAGGGGAAAGAATGGTAATAAGAACATGAACAAGAATGCCAACGGGGCTAAAAAGAAAAAGGTGACCAAGCCATCCTATGACAATTCTGAGGGCAACTTTGAGAACACAAAGGTGAGTCACAGCTCTAGCAGCCATTTTGTTAGGAGGGTGGAGGAGGCACTGGGAGGAATAATCATCTCCACGGCCATTTCTGCCAGGTGAGGTTCTTGTACAAAGGCTTCTGGGATCCTTAAGTGTCACCAGTAGTTGGGAATCCCTTTTCTCAGGAGTGATAGGGAGGGAGGATGCAGTGCCTTAAGCTGAACAACTGTTTCCACTGGCCCAGCCCCATTTCCAGGGCCTCTGTTCTTCCTGAGTTACATGTGTAAGAGAAGACCAACCAGATACAGGGAAAGGGATTTATTCAGAATAGTTGTGTACTAATAAGTGAAAGGATTGGGCACTATAAGAGTCACTGTGAGGGGTGGGAAGGAAAAACAGAGGCACAGAGCCCAAGAATTGTGAGCTGTTTGAAAGGGCTTAATGGCCGTTTAGAGTATTGGCCCCAAGAGGTTAGGTGTGACTACCTTCCACATTATGCTCAGAGAGATTGGCTTGCAGTCCGAGAACATAGCACTACATCCTGGCACAGTAACATGATGCAATAGAGTTTTCTGAAGATAGTGCAGCACTATCAGGAGAGTAGGATTCTTCATGGGTAACAGCAGCCCTCATCCTGCCCTACCTCCACCCTGCAGTCTCTGGAGGTGGTACTGCACTACACGGCTAGCCAGAGCCAATTAGATGAGCTAGCAAAAGAGGAGGAAAAGAAAGAGGAGGTGGGAGAGCCAAAACAGGAAGAAACAAAAGAGGAAACCATGGAGCTTCACTCAGATGAGCTAGCTACTGAGCCAACAGATGCTAAGGAGGCTAAGACAACAGAAGATCACGAGGAAGAAAATGAAGAGTACAGTGAACAGAATAAGGAAGAAGATAATGAAGAAGACGACGACAATGACTCTTCCCCTGAGACTTCTGAGGAAAACAACCCTCTTAAACTTTCTGAAAGTAAAAAGGTAACCACAACCAAAGGTTGGATCAAGTGGGAAATGGGCCTTGGGCTCAGGCACCCTGGTGTTCAGGACTGGCCCTGCCAAGGATGGGCTTCTATCAGAGCATAGGCAAACCAGTGCAAGGGTTGGTACTCAGGGAACTGGGTATGGAGAAGGGTTGGAGAGTGCAGTTCCTCTAAGGGAAATGGCAGGCTTAGACCAATTTGTTATGGAACCATCTCACAATGACCACCTTTTCTGAGGACCAAGATGGGATCTCTGGAGTCTTGTTTCCTTACATTTGCATAGTAGCCCTTGTTATGTTTCTCTGCCAAGAGGGTTCCCTCGTTCCTGTCTTTGCAATACATGAAGGACCTTAATAGTGCGAGGCCTTCTACGGAGCATTTCTGTCAGCTTGGGCAAGTCACTCAGTCCTATTTTCCATTGGTACCATATTAGGCTTAACCTTTGTCATTGCTGTTAGTGGGATGGGGAAGGTGATAATCTCTTTTTATAGGCTTGTGCCACCCACTGGGTTCCAAATACTGCAGGACATGAGGGTGGGGTGGGGGGATGATAAGAGTGATTACAACAGGGGCTTTATCGGGTCCATGACTAGCTATAGCCCTAACCCCTTTGGTTGTTGGATCTTTGAGAGATTATGGTAGAGGTATTATGGGGGGAGGTATGCCAGGATAACAAGCATAATTTACCAACTGTACAGAAGTATTTCCATCTTAAAAATTGATCCATCTGTATAGGTATGTACCAGCTGAATTCCTGCCCTGGGTGTTTTGGGGGCTCTGGGGTTTGAGTACTTCCTGAGAAAGTCCTCAGTTTATAGTATAGGTCCTTTCTGTCCCTCAAAACACAGGAAAGGAAATAAGTCTCTTGTGCTAGGATAACCCAGTCAATTCTAAGGATATCTGGAATTTTCCAGTCATTCATTCTGTAGCATTGGTTAAGGATCCATTGTGAAGTTCTCTGTTAACCTTGTGGCAGAGGACTCCTACCTAGGATGTAGACAGTAGAAGCAACTGCTACATTTCTTTGAACTCCTCATATTCTACCACATGGTGGTTCAGAGCCTCATAGAAATCTTGAGGGACCACATTTATAAAGCCAGATCTGATTTTTGTACTTCAAAATCAAGTCTATTCCTTGTGTCTATGTATGGAGTTAGCCCCTTTGCCCCAGTGGGTCCTGTACTTTCTCTTTTTGTGGGGCACTCAGATGGTATATTTATTATTGCCTATAAAATTCAGTTTCTCTAGACAACTGTTTTGTCAAACAACTAACCCTTCTCCATTGTCTTTAGTGCACTTTGTCTCACAACTAATGTACCAGATTCCTAGGGTATCATAGGAACTAGAGCTTAAAATTCTAAGAAACTTGATAGAAAATAAGCCAGATAGATGACCTGGCCAAAGACAGGCTTTTCCTAGAGTGATTAGGAAGTGTCCACCCTATTTCTCTAAGGAAGTTCAGTTTACTCTGGAGCTTCACTTTTCCAGAGTCCAGCCCACAACAAAGGTCTAAGTGCTGATAACTCCTGCTTGACCAGATATGAGAAGTACACAACAAGACAGAAAACAGGCCTTGCCCCAGATGTGGATCTAGCTGCTGCTCAACCCATTCAATTTTGTGACTTCTGCAGGCTGCCAGTGGGAAGAACTCCTCCTCTGCTCTCCTCAGGGCCCAGGAGCAGAGAAGAAATGCTACTGCTCTACCCTACATGATTTTTAACCTCTGGATTCTTTTCTCTTTCCCCTTTGTTTTCTCATCTTCATTATCTGTTGGATTCGTGTGTTTATGTCTTTTCATACCATTTCACATCTCCTGGTCTCTCCTTGTGCTTTTCTCTCATTTGACGTGTTGCAGCCATCCCCTGCCCCCGATCCCCCCATCTTCTCCTTGCCTCTTGTAGGCCTGGTGGTCATATCGGCTCTGCTCTGGTGCTGGTGGGCTGAGACATCATCCTAACTCAGGTACTGGTATTGCTTCCTCCTCTTTCCTCTCAGCTGCTTGCTTCTTGCTTTGGCCACTATACAACAGGTGATGCTCAGGTCTGTTTTACCTCGGCTTTTCCTCCAGCTGTCACAATGCCTATAACTTCTCGAGCATGTCTTCATGGAGTACAGAATGCACAGGGAATTGGAATGTTTACTAAAGGCATGGTTTGAGTTTCTATCCTTTGCTGGGAAAAACTTGGATTAACCCAGCACTGTTGCTACTGTCAAAGCTGCCCAACTACTTCTGATGAGCTGATGTTTGTCTGAAAGGCTGCCTTGGGCCCTCTTTGTCTTTTTTAACCCCCAAGCCAATTTCTCATCATTGCTTCTATGCAGGATGACAAAATAAGGAGTCACTCCCTCTTCCCATGGGGGGGGAGGGGTTAGAAGAGCTTTAATTCTTCTGATCTCCCCAGGAGCATTCAAATGAGAGCAACCTAAATTGATCCTTCAACCTTGATGAAAGTGGAACTGAACCCCTAACCATATTGTGCACCTTGTCTTGAAAAGTTCTCTGGTTTGGTACTTCTAGTCTTCAGGAAAATTAGAACAGAATACCAGGAAATATTTTTTAGATTATCCCTTTTGGAGGCCAGATTCCATTGTAATTGATTTCCTAAGCTAAGTTTTCTAAAGAGAATACAGTACTAATGAAAAGTTTGTACTAGCTACAGATGTAAGTATTCTTAGGAAATCAAGACTGATACATTCTGGGCACCTCCCAGTTGGCCCCAGTCCATGTAATCTTATCTGTCAATGGAATACCAAATTCATGAGGCAGATTGTGGTCTCATGGCCCTGGGGTTCCACCTGTTTTCTGGAACCCATACGCTATTCCTTCCCCTGTCCTCTCTTCTCACATCCCTGTAAGTGAGGTGTAGTTGGCTTAAGGCACAGGTTTGGAGGGCAGCCGAAGCATTTTTTGATGGTACTTCTCACTGTTTCCCTTTCTGTCCCTCCTTTTTTCACTTCCCTAATTATTTCCTTCTCTTCATCACTTCTTCTCTCTTTCCTATTATACTTCATGACAGTCTTTAGCTTCTTTAGTGACAGCAGTCTCTCCTTACATCTTTTCTTTCACTGCACACCCTCAGATGTCTTCAGTACCTATAATGTAAGACCCAAAGCACCCAGCTGTAGCCTTTCACCAGACCCTATCAGAATGAGAGGAAAGAATTGTTGCCTAAAGTTCCTCTCGCAGCAGCCTCTTATTCCCAGAGCTCTTGTTAAGCTCTGACTTGAGGTAGCATAGTGTAGTAGAATGTGTGACTGACAAGTGGTGAGGAGAGCTTGATCGAGTCTATCTTTTCTTACAAAGCTTTATCTTAGCAAAATGTGTCATCTGAACTTAATTTCCTCAAATATATTATGTTTGACTAAGCTCTGTGTTCCTCACCAGGCTTCTGTGAGGATCAGATAAGTGAATGTATATGAAAGTACCATAAGTATCAATAACAAAAAGAGCATAAACTTATATAAGACATACTGTGTGTTGGACACCCCTCTATCACTGCATATATTAATTAATTTGATCTTTACAGCAACCCTAGGAGGAAGCTCTACTATTGTCATTTTAAACATGATAAAACTGAGGCATAGAGAGGCGACTAAAAGCCTGGAAATTGTGAATTGGATTTTAAGGACTTAATATTAGCTACATATAAAAACTCTTAATTCCATTTCCTGTTATCATTTTTTTTTTTCTCATTTTGAGCACTTTTCTCTAGTTGGCTCCAAGTAGCAGGAAGATGCCATATACTTCTGTTTATGCAATCTCAAATCTCATTAGCTTTTTTGGTAACTAATGTCATGGATTTGCTTCATGTCTTGTTTATAAAACCCTTTTGTACATTGCTTATGCTAAACATCACCTTCTGATTCTGTACTAGCATTTGATTGTTTTGGATCCAAAGGCAGAAATTTCCTTTTATCCATATCAGATATAGTCCATTGTTCTAACCTATGGAGTGTTTTGTTTGTTTGTTTGTTTGTTTTTATCTTGGCCCTCTGTTTTCAAAATGTTGACTTTCCTTGTCAGCTCCATGTTATCCTCAGGGGTGACAAGCCCACCAGGAGGACTTTATCCTCCTGATGACTTCATCCAAGTCACAAGCAAGGACCCAAGCCAGGAGTGGTGGTGCATATCTGTAATCCCAACTCCTTGGAAGGCTGACACTGGAGGATCATAGGTTTCAATCCAGCCTGGGCAACTTTGTGAAATTCTGTTTCAAAATAAAAAATAAAGGCTGGGGATGTAATTCAGTGGTAGAGTGCCTCAGGGTTTAATCTCTAGTACTGGAAAAAAAAAAAAAGAAAAAGAAAGAAAGAAAAGAACAGAACAGTGGGTATCCAACTTCTAGGGTGCCAGTTCTCTTTTATTTAGCTTATTGACCACTTAACAAATGGTCATCCTAATCTTATTTCCTCATGTTATCTGCAAGGATTTTAAGAAAAATCTTGTCAAACACCTTGGTTAAGCCTCAAAACATGATTTCCTTGATCTATCAATTTAATAATGCAGTGCAGAAGCCTGCAATTTCTAGAAGCCTGTGATTTCTTGAAGCCTATAACTTCCTCCTTTGGAAAACCCAAACCATTCCTTTATGTGTCCAGTCCAGAATCTTGATTCTGCTCAATGTATAGTGCACCAGTTAGCATTTATGGATTTCAGCTCTTTCCTCCTTTTAAGAACATTAGACTGACATTTTTAGCAATGTGCATCAGGATATTAACATCTATGCATGTAAACATTTTTCCTAGCACCCTTCTCCGTTATTTTCTTTGTAGATTAGTCTGTATATGCACTTCCAACATTATTTTTGCTTTCTATCAGATATTTCTTGTTATACCGTGTAACTATTTCAACAAATTTAGAGGATTTTCTTTGTTATTTTTAGTTATCTTAAAATCTTTGTTTTAGATCAGTTATTCTCTGAGCAAATGTATTCTTATTAATGGATTTTATTCCATCTTTACCAAAAGACATCCTTTTACTTTATGCCATAGCTCTTGACTCAATATTAAAATTTCATTTTTCACATAATTATAAGTAAAAAGAGTAACAAAAATGGGAACTATTTCCCCAAGTATGTATTTTCTTATCTGAGGTTTCATTTCTTAAAGGGTATTTTGTGGATCTCTTCTGATGGTGTTATTTGTTGTCTATGAATCAGCAGAGTTCACCAGTGGCCAGCAGTGTGTAGAAGGCTCAGCATACTGCAACACATGTGCTAGGAAGCCAGTCCACACACTTAGGGTAGGGTATTTGGTGACTCTTGACATTTGCTTCTCAGGGCAATTAACACTTCCCTTGAATTTCCTTGAACTGACATCCTTCTGTGCATAAGGTCTGGCTGTATAAAGGACCTCCTGTGCACTTGTACTCCTCCACTTCCCTTCCTTCCTCTTGGCTCTGAGTTGTTTCTCCTTCACAAAGCTTACTAGGAATGGCCACTTTCCCTGAAGATCCAGCTTTACCCTCTCCCTTCTTGCTACAGCATCTACCCTTTCTCAAGCATCCTCATGGAGGTCTGCAATCTGGCCCATGAGCTTGCCTCCACATTTAAGGACCGGTATTCTCATTGTTTGGGGAGAAAGGAAGACTTACACACAGGTGTCACCTGAGGTGACATGTACAGTGTTGCACCCCATATCTAGTGTCAGGAAGAAGAGACCATGTGATTTCCACCGCTTACCTGGGAGGTGAGAGAAGCTGAACCATGATGTTCCTGAGGTGTCCCTCTCTGGCACAAGCAGGCAGGTGATTTCTGGCTTTGGGAAGGGTTCAGAAGGCTGGAAACTCACGTTTTTCTTTGGTCCCCACAGAACATGTTTGGGATGTGGAAGCCTATGGCATTCTTGGCTATTGCAGCTGTGGCTCTGTATGTGTTACCCAGCATGCGACCGCAGGAGTCAGAGTTCTGCCTCATGGAGTGATGGCAGACCTGGGCCAGCCGAAAGGGCAGATCCCCAGGAGCCACCACCCTCACCTTTGGGCAGGACACACTATGCCAGAGCTCCCACCTCACTCATGTCCCATGTGTCCCCACCTATCTCCTTAGCCTCAGCCACTGAAGCTGGAAAGGCTTATGGGAGCTGCTGTCTCCCATCTCCTGCCTTGTATAAGATCCTGGGTTCCTTGTAATTAAATATCAACCCAATTACATGAGACTCTGTGGCTCTTTATTTACTAAATGCTTCATACACAACCAGAACAAAGCAGCTCCCCTTCAACCAAATACTTCACTTAAGGATCTGGCTCCTAAATATGATTTCTCACCTTACAGATGACCTCAGAAACAAGTCTGGCTCCCTGTGCTGCCAGCTAAATCACAGAGGGTTTGGTCTGTACCTGTTAACTTACCTCAAGGAACTCTGAGCTTGGAAAAATGGAGGGGGTCCAAAAGACCTCCCCTTAGGTTTTCTGTACCCATACTCCTCCCTGTATGAGGATTCCCCAAGAAGATATGTGTGGGTGTCTTCATGGATTAGTCCTTGTGACTCAAGGGGTTTGCTCAGATGACTTTTTCATCAGTCAAGTTCCTAGCCATAAACAGGATACTCAAAACTTTAGCTAAAAGAGATCAATGAAGGAACTAAGCACAGAAGGCAGGGTTAGGAGAGCCAACAAGGAAAGACAACACAGCTAGGTCCTGGCACTAGTGGAAAGCTGTTGCTACCTCCACTGGAAGGGGAGGGGAGGAAGCAAGAGCTGAAGCCCCAAAAGGAACCCCAAGCAGGAGTGCAGTGCCAGGGCCCTGAGGAAGAGGGAAGACTTTTTAGTCCTAGCCCTTTCCTCCTACCTGCCTGCTTCCTGTTGGTACCTCTGGTTGACTGAACCCAGCAGGGAGCAAGAGAGCAGAGGTGCCCAGTTGATATGATCTTTCAAGGTCAGCCTCCTGGAGCTCAGAGCAGGACATAAGGGGACAGCAGAATGGCCAGATAATTTATGTGTATTCCTGTTTACCTTCGTTCCACTTTATGATTGGTTGTTCTCATTGTGAGTGTTGGCACATGAAAGAAAGACTGAGTGTATTAAACCCCCATGACCACTGGTTTCCTAGGGACTCTTCTTTTTGCCACCAAAGGACTTTGTTCCATTCAACCAATCATGTGGAGCAATGTATGGACACAGAGCATGGATGGATGCTGAATGGATGCTGCTGAGCTCCAGATGAGTCCATTTCTTCCCAGCCCTTCCCTAGGGGGAACAGCAAGAACATGTAAAATGAGGAGTTCAAATTTACCTATTTACCCATCCTAGAGAAGTGAACTAGAAGTCCCTTCTGGCAGGACTAGAGTCAGTGCCAACACTGGGACCAGACCACTGAGGGTGGTGCCACTTGTTCTTTTTCTTTTCAAGTGACTCTTCTCTGAAGATCATCCTGTTTTAGGGTAGCCTAATCCATTTCTATTCCAAGTGACCCAGGACCAGCAGCATCAACATCACCTGGGAGCTTATTAGAAAGGCAGAGTCTCAGGCCTGCCCCAGACCTCCTGACACAGAATCTGTATTTTAACAAGACACGTAGGTCATTAGTATGCCTAGTAACATTTGAAAAACACTGCCCTCACCAGTTGTATTAGGTTTTATATATTCAGTCATTACCTAATTCAACAAATTCCTTTGTAACTACCTGGTCCTACTTGATTCTGAGGGTAGTGAGACTCTGCTTCTTATTCAGTTTACTCACCAACAATTTCTTGGAAAACAATTTGGAAAGGACCAGAAGATGACCTATAGCCAAGTGCTATGGCCCAAATGTCTGTGCCCCCAAGAATTCCTGTTGAAATCCTAATCTCCAAGATGATGCTATTAGGAAGTGGGGCAAAGCTCTCACAGTGGGTTTAGTTTCCTTATGAAAGAGAACTCAGACCCCTTTATCCCTTCTGCCATGTGAGGTTACAATGAGAAGATGGCTATGAGGAAGGGTGGCCTCACCAGATAAGGAATCTGCATGTGCCTTACCTTGAGCTTTCCAGCCAGAAGAAAAATGAGAAATTTCTGTTGTTTATAAGCTATCCAGTTTACAATATTTTGCTGTAGCACTTAGATAAGCTAAGAAATCAAGGATTGCTTGGATTTAAAAACCAACATGGAGATCAGGTTCGGGGTAATAATGACAGGAATGTGGGCTTGCCTTTCCCCAGCCTTTAGGACACTTGCCCCTCTCTGTGCACTTTAGAATCTTTTCCCCTTCCTTTGGTTTGAATCTGGAGCCACCTGATCTTATTGATCAGTGTTACCAAAACATGTGAAAGAGGTCTCCTTGTTAAACATTTGTTTGAGATAACTTAAAAATGGGTGGAGTGAGGAGGACTGACCTTAAGTCCACAGCAGTATGTCTTAGAAACTACAGGCAGGCATGCACCCTGGCATTGGTATAGCTAGAACCAAGAACCCCCAAACACCTTCATGAGCCTCCATCTTTTGGCTTCTACCCTCTGTATAACTGCTTTCTACCCGTTGTCTACAGTCTCGGCCCGCCTTGCTGTCTCTGCCCAACCCACCACTGCCACCCCTGCCAAGGACCAGCTGCTGCTATTGGGGTGGGTGGTTATGAAGTACAGTAACTCTGGTTCTGATCTGGCAGGTGGTGTATCAGGATGGAGGAAAGGGGTGAGGGGAGTAGTGTTGATATCTAGGCAGTGTATCTGCAGGGCTATGGACACAGCTGTGAGGAAGGGCCTCACTCCCTAGAACGGACCCACACACACCAGCAGAGGAAGCAAACTAACTTTTTTTAAAATCCCCTATTAGATGCCAGGTGTCATGCTAGTCATGTTATTTCTTCTCATCTTCACACATTTTTTAAAAAAACACTATTGAGGGTGTTATTCCATTTTACAGATGAGAAAAGGAGGCCTGAAAGAGTTATGTAACCTGCTCAAGGTTATAGAACCAGAAATGAAGAGGCTGGAATTAAGCCTTTGGATCTTTCTTTTCCTGCCACCTGGGTCAGAGCCACAGCCAGTGCCTGCTGTGGGCCTGACCAGCTTAGAATCATCAAATGACTGCAGGAATGTCCCTGGTTCCAGGAAAACAAGATTTTTAAACATGGCCCACTGGATCCACTCAGGCAAATTTGGCTCAACCCAAATTAAATACAGCCCATGTCAGTGGCTGTCAATCAGTGCCCCTTGATGAGAGAGGCCCAGATGAAAGGCCAGGCAACCTGGTCTCCTGAGATAGGTCAGCGCGTGATGAGTCAGGGGGCTATAAACGGCCTGTGGCCCCAGCCAGCAAAGCCCCATGTACTCAACTGATGAAACCCCTAGTAAGCCCCTCTCGGTATCCCTGCCTGGCTTGGGGAGGAACACATTAGCTCTCCCTGGGGAAGGGGCCCCACTTGGCAGGTCCCAGGACAGCATTGTGCACGGTCTGTTCCAGCCCGCGTGGCCGGGCCTGGGGCCTGGGCTCATGGGCTATATTGAGGGCTGAGTCACCAGCCTGTGCCTGGGTAGGCTGACTGTGACTGGCTGCTGGGGCTTGAGTCAGGCCCCGATTTATCCTGGAGAGCAACAGGCTCAGGTTTCTGGGGTTGGGGAAGTTGGCGGGAATCATCCTTTGGCACTTTGCACCCTGCTCTGCTGACCATTTACTTGCTCCTCTGGGACCCACACACTGATCTTTCCCAAGTGAGATAGTGAGATAATGAGTCAGAGAGGAGAGCAAGGCAAGCTATCCTTGGGAGTTTTCCCTGGCTTTGCTCTGAACCCTCCCACCTAATTCACTATTATTGTTGATGTTGTTATTATTGGAACTGGTCAGTTGAACCCAGGGGTGCTTTACCACTGAGCTACATCCCCAGCCCTTTTTATTTTGAGACAGGGTTTTGCTAAATTGCTGGCCTTGAACTTGGAATCCTGGTGCCTCAGCCTATGGAGTCACTGGGATTATAAGTATGTGCCACCATGCCTGAAAGAACCCTTCCAGCTCTTGACTGACTGGGTACCTCTGATAATGACACCCACCAGACAGGACTATGTATGTTTAGGTTCCATAGAAGAGCTGTGAGCCCCAGGCAACCCCACCTGACCCCTTTCTCCCCTCCCCAGCAGCTCAGAAAGGTATCCATCATTTCTCAGATCTGAACCTCAGTTTCTTCATCAAGGCTCCAGAGACAACAGTGGAACCCTGAGCTCCTGGCACTTTGGGTTGGCTGTCAGAAGTTGACTTCTCTGCCCCCCACACACTTTCCTTATGAGACCCAGCTAAGTATCTTGAGCTGGGCATCTCTCTAAAGAGAGCTCAGCCTCTCAAGTGGACAGCACTAGTACCTGATGTGTGGTTTTGGCCATTGGATGAAGATAGTTTAGAGAGAATGAGAGCTCTGGAGACAAGGAGAGGGGGTTGCCAATAGGAGAGTGGAATTCCTGAGTACCTCGTCACAGGCGGCCAACAGAACATGAGCTGCAGGGCCCAAGCTATTTATACCTCGCCTGTCACTATCAGGGCCCCCAGACAACACCCCCTCCAGCTATGCAGAGCAGGTCCCTTTTCTGTTTCTGGTCCTTTCCACTCCTCCCCCTCTCTACCAAAGGACTAGGCAGTCTCATTACATGAGAAGAGAAATAAATGATTCATGGAACCCTGTCACCATAAGCACTGGCCCTCACAAAACCCTAAACTTCTTTGTTAGTCCATAATAGGTACTGCCCTCACTCTGCCCTTGGTGAAAGTTCCCCTAGATGTCTCCTATACCATACCCTTCCTTTTCACCAGGCTTGGGAAGAGTAAAGAAGTTAGAATGAATCACCTACAAAGTCCATAATCCTTCCCAATTCTTAAACCACCATGCGTTTTGAGTTGGGGACTATCTGGCTTGAAGAAATATCTCAAGCTTAGACATGGCCTCCTCCCCAATTAAATTTACTGGGTCTAGAAGGATGGGGAAGCAGAGGAAGCTTAAAGGAGGGCAGGAAGTTTGGAGTCAATGTGTGCTGCGAGTTGCCAAATACATATTCTCCTTATATGTTCTGTGGCTTTCTCCTCATCCCCCACCAGTGCTTCTAGTGCCTCACTTTCCCCTCTGTCACCACTCCCCAAGCCTCCAGCTGCCTCTGGCCCACTCTGAGCCCAGTTCTGCCTAGGCATCTTGCCTGGCTCCCTGGGTTCTCCCTGCCCACTCTACCCCGGGCCCTGCCCACCTGCCTCAGTCACAT